ATGACGCGTCATTTTGTTATGTTTGAACTACCTCAAACGCAGGTTATTGTGCCTTGAAATAATAATTCCTTGCCTGAAATCAAGGCGCACACTCGCCCATGTATAGGTATGTAATCTGTTGATGTTTCAAGTTGTTGTATTAATGTTCCAGTGTCTTGAACCAAGGTCCGTCTTCCACTCAGTAATGCACGAATGCATCATATTAAGGACACTGCCTCAACCGAAGGGTTAGGTGCCTTGAAATAATAATCAGACGTCTCAAATCAAGGCTCGCAATCCTTGTTACAACGCCTACATGTCCTAGTGACCTGGGTTTTAGCCTATGCCACGCACTATTCAATTATTTCGCGATTCGTAACGAAAAGAGCGTAGTGTTTGAGTGTTGCTGCAGGTTACAGTCATTTGGAGAATACGAACAAAAGGTACGATCATTGAAAATTATCTAATTTAAAAAAAAAGAGTGCATGATTTGTTAAATATTAAAAAGAGAACGCAGTCGTCCTTGCCCAAAATTCGGGGAAATCAGTTATTTTAATAAACATCCGCCGGCATAGAGGCACAATGTACAATATAAATACAGATTCACTTTCGCTGTTTGGTAATTTAATATTACCTATACGGATTAATTATTGTACCGCCTCTCTATGCAACAAACGCCGACTCTGCAGCCGGACGTTCCAAAATAAACAATAATTAATAATGGCTTGGTCTCTGTGAATGTGAACTCTCAATGTGTCGTCGCAGGTATAGGTGCTAGGAGCATTCGAATACCTCCTGAAATTTTAATTTGAAAACAGTGAACCTGTGAACGCGATATTACAGTTAGTGATCCATTTTTTAATTTCTTATACATAGGTGACTTGTGGGTGGGAGCTGCAGTCAATTACTTGTATGTGAGTAATAATTGTTACATATATACCAATTTGATCCAAGCATCAGGTTTTACTATATTTAAATCTCAACTTCGATCTGCTATCAATGAAATAGGTACTCTCAAACAAAAGCGGGACGCATATTTGTAAGCAGAAGACGCGTCCGCCAAAAGACGCGAGCCGAAGTAGAGTGGTATATAGCAGACGAGTCAGCAAAACCACTTGGTAAACAGCAGACACGTCGGAGTAGGTTAAGACCTGTACCTATATAGCAGATGAAAAAGTTGGATTTTTGCCAGACGCGTCTGAATAAAAGGACAGGGCTCGGCTCTTTACTTTTGTATAAATATACAGGAATATTACACTATAAATAAATAACACTAACATTGATTTGCCATACTTTTTTGGGATAGCCTATATAGCATGTTCTTATCTACAATCTAATCTACAATTAGTACAAATTCAGGTCCAAAAGGAAAAATTATAAGAAAAGGTAGTGGTCTTCCCCATTTTGGGGAAGACCACTACCTTTTCTTATATGTAATAAATTAATATACACCCAATAAATATGGATCAAACAATACACCAAGAGGATGCGCGCCTGACACCATTAGCGTTCTCTATGTCAACGTGGTCATAATATTACAAAAGATTTTTGTACAAACATTTTAAATTAAACTTACCTCTACCTCTTATTTACTGAAGAGTTTGCAGACGATCACGCTATTTTCCTTAACACTTTTATATGCGTAATTCTTTGGCCATTCACGCATTCGGCATTTTTAAGGTATAAAGTGAAAAAGCCGACGTATCAGGCAGACAGCTGACGCCTTACCTGATATATGAATATAAAAATAAAAATGTCTGTGCTGCACTTCCTCCAGTAAACAGCAGACGTGTCAGGCCCAGGCGGATTCTGGCGGACGCATCTGCTAAATATTAACATTCTTCGAGCAGGGCGAAATTTACCGAAAGGATAACGCGTCTGCTATTTACAAATATGCAAGCGGGACGCGGGGAACGGAATCAGTGCGCATTGTAATTTCACAACGGGAAATGCAACTAAACACATTTGACACTGCAGCGGTATCCCGCTTTGTAAAATGCGCTTCTGCAAAATTTGTACTACTATTTTTCATTTCCTAATTTCAGAGAAACTCGATCCGATGTGATTTCAACGTCTCTTTCTTTGGATTTATCAATGTCAGAATAAACTACGAAAGTATCGATTGCCCAAATAGGTAACACATTTTTGAATTGCTGCTAAGTACTGCAGCTACAGACCATCTACAAGCTTACTCAGTTAGTTAATTCTATGGTGATTCCCTATATTTCTATTGCATTGCATTAAAAGTTCTACCTGTACGATGTTGTGCTTCCTATGTAAAAGGCAATTTAATACTCTAAAAATATTGATTCAACATTTCAAAAGAGTGCATGATTTAGGATCAAGCTCTTTGTTTACATGTTGTGAATGTGAGCGAACTTATCAGTACTTGGATAGATTTAAAAAACATGTGAATCAGAAACATATTCGTAATGCTATTAAATTAGTCGATTCTGAATCTACATCCTCAACCACTAATCCAACTTCACCATCACCACCAAAAACACCAACACCAAAACCACCAGAACCACTACTAACAACACCCACTGAACCAATACCATCACCTCCTCCTCCATCACAATATCCTGTGGACTTTAAGTTTGAAAATATTAAGAATGGATTAACTCAATCTTTGCTGTTGTTTATACTTGAACTACACAACAAAAGTAATTTTTCTAGAAAAGATATATCTTACGTTCAAAATGCTATGACCAAACACGTAGTTACCGCATTTGTGCAATTGTTCAAGGAATTGCATAGTTACCTCAAAAGAAGCAATAATACTGAGCTCTGTGAGGAAATATTGGGTATAATTTCGGCTTTAAGAAATCCCTTTGAGAGTTATAATTCAGAACACTTGCTTCACAGGTTGTTAAAGTATAATGACTATGTTGGAGATATAAAACATTATACATTATGTAATGAAGTAGTTGCAATTCATCGACAAGGAGGTTTAACTTATGATGAGAAAAAACTGTCAGGTGTTTTGATGCCACTTCAATTCCAATTTCGGAAATTTTTCGAAAGGGGAAACTTACTAAGAAACATGCAAGACTACATGAATCGGCTCAAAACTTGCACAAAAATGAAAAATTTCATTCAGGGCAAATTATGGGCTGAGAAAACTAAGCTCTATCCAAATAAAATTCTCATTCCATATTTTGTATATATTGACGACTTTGAAATCAATAACCCGTTGGGGTCACGTGCCGGATTGCACTCTGTATGTAATGTTTATTATTCATTTCCGTGTCATCCGATAGAAAATTCAAAATCTGAAAATGTATTCCTAGCAGCATCTCTGAAATGTAAAGATATTAAATCTTTGGGTAATGATGTGTGTTTTAAGCACCTAATAAATGAATTAAAACTTTTGGAGGAGACGGGAATTTTAATTGAGGTTGAAGGTAAAAGTGAAGAAGTGCATTTCGTAATAGCTTTAGTAACGGGCGACAATTTGGGTTTAAACTCATTTTTAAATTTCAATAAATCTTTTTCCAGTACCTCATTCTGTAGGTTGTGCAAAACAAATAAAATTGAATGTCATAAGCAAGTAATAGAGAATTCTGCTTCTATGCGAACAATAGAAAATTATGAGGATGACTTGGACTTGAATAACCCTGCGTTAACAGGAATCAGGAGCGAATGTATATTGAATGAAATTCCGTCATTTCATGTGGTCTCTAATTATTATGCAGATGTTATGCACGACGTATTTGAAGGTATTTGCCACTACAACTTTTGCCATGCTCTATTATACTTTATCCAGCAAATGAAATATTTTGATATAAGTACTTTTAACTTGCGGAAAACACATTTTGAGTATGGACCCACTGAAATCGAGAATATACACAATGCTGTCATAGAACTGAAACATATACAAAAAATGAAATTAAAAATGTCTGCTAGACAAATGATGACTTTCACTCTATATTTTCTTATTATGATGGAGGATTTGGTTCCAAACGACGATCCGGTCTGGAATTTTCTTGTGAATTTTGTTGAGATAGTAGACATTTTACTATGTTTTGAAATAGATGACACAACAATCAATCTTCTAGAACATAAAATCAAAAAACATAACTCAGATTTTGTGATATTATTCAATGACACTCTGAAACCTAAATTTCATAATTTGGTCCATTACCCCACAATCATACGACAATCTGGACCATTACGTAATTTTTGGTGTTTCAAGTATGAGTCATTTCATCGACAGTTCAAGATTTATTCTAATTGCATTACCTCCAGAAGAAATATATGTCTTAGTTTGTGTAAAAAATATGAATATAGATTTGCATACAATATATCAAAGTCGGATAACAATACTCTTTTCACAGTTAATAATTTACATCAAACGGAATGTAATTATGCAACATTGATTCGCAATAAACTGAATATTAACATGGACTGCCTGAAATTCTTCGACGAGATGATCTATAAAGGTGTAAGATATTCTTGTAAAGGTTACTTTGTTTCCACATTCGAAAATGATATTGCATTTTATGTCATATTGAAAATTATTGTGATTAACAATGAATCTGTACGACTATTTTGCCAAAAATTGAGAGATGTTGAGTTTAAAGAGCATTTTATCGGTTATCTAGTTGATACTACTAATTTAGGATCAATTTCAATCCTTTCCATGAACGACATAGTAGGACCTCCAATCACTGTAATCAAATCACCTAGAGGTCAGACTATTTTGAGACCAAAAGAGTTTTTTAGAAGCATCTAATTTCCACAAATTACGATCTAATCTATTCATTATAATTAAGCTGTTGTAGACGTCGATTCCTTGTATAAACTGCAAATTTAGCCTACGGACATTCATGGAGTCAAATCAACTGATAAGTCGAAATAAAGTGGGGGAACTGTAAAATAATAACTCAAATATAACGTATTTTCTTCTCAGCTTGTACGGTTTTTCGTCCCCGTTTCGACTAAAAATAGAGAAAACCACTAGTTCACATAGAATGACTTGCAGTTTGTATAACGAATGAACGTCCTAAACCAGACTCACGACTCTTTCCAATTTATTATATTTCTGTTATTATGTATCTCTGAACTATTTCTCTGAGAAAATGGTACTGATAAGGGAGCATACGTACGATTTTCATATACAGGTTGAGCTTTCAAAATTAGCAATGGAAACTTTGGAATTCGGGATCAACGAAAATGATGAAGAATATGGGTTTTTAATGAACAACAGTAGCCTAAGAAGAGCCTTGTCAGCGGACCTTACTGCGTCTGATTCCATTCTCCTTGACATAACAAACAGAGAAGACAACCAAATGAGCGCTTGCTTGAGCGCTGATGTTCTAGAATTACAGACATTATTGACTAACTGGAAGCTTGATCGTTTGCTGAATCATTTAGTAGGTATGTCAAGTCTCAAAATTATGTAATTTACAATCTAAATAGTGAACTAATTTGCATGATCCAAATAAATAATTCTGTACCTATATATAAGCATTGATAAGTATTTTGATGTTTTTTTTCAGATCAGAAGGTTTTCGTGCCTCAGCTCAAAATGATGGGGAGACACCATGTGCGGGAGTTGCTCGAAAAATATGACGTTGGAACGCGAATTGAATTCGAGCACTATCTCTCACTCTGGAGACAATCAATTGGTATCCCTCTAAATTCCTATGAAACTGGCCCCACTGGAAGTGGTATGACAAGGCAGCTCGCAAGCACATCCATCTGGGTGGACAATCTTGAACCATCAGACATAAGGTCACCGTGTTCATCCCATCATTCAACCGATGCGGGATCAGGTGCCAAAGTGCTATTGGCAACTATTCTGAAAGACTCCCCGAAAGCAGCGCTGTTGATGGAATACTGGGAAAAAAATTCGAAATTTGACAACGAACAGAGAGGAGCCCTGATCAGTTTAATAGCAAGATACTTCGAGGATAATCGCATCCCCATGACAATGGCTGCAAGCTATCAATTGGAACGAGAGATAGTCGAGAGATTTCCGACTGAGAAGCTGGTAAGTTGGGCTTAATTAATTCAGTTCAAAATATTGACTCCAACTTAACAAATTCTAGGAGTTCTACCGCACTAACAAGAGAGGAAAACTCTACAATAAATGGAGGAACAGCAACGGTAGATTCAATAAAGCTGTTTTGAAAAAAACGGAAAAAACGGATACAAGCAGGACTGATATTGCTCTTGGTAAGTGAATAAATGTTTTGTATATATTATATATATTTCAATATATTAGTTTATATGCTTATCAATTTACGTTATTATTTGTTTCAGATTCAGAAAAGGACGCGGAGGATATAATAAGGTCACTGCGCAATGACGATCTATCTGCCGAAGAGCTCGATCGGTTTTGGAAGGCGTGCGGGAATTATCGATTGAATCAAATCAGAACAGCCAATTCAACAGCAGAAATTTTGAAGAAGTGGCCGCAATATAAAACTCCCTCCGGATATAGATTTGTACGTGGAATCATTCAGATTTTAAATAATATTAACAATAAAGTAATTTTTTCTACTACTACCTTAGAATCACGTCATACTTGCTTCTTTTTTAACAATAGAATCTCGCCTATTCTCTGCTAGTGAAGTGGAATAATTTCATTCTAGCTCTTGTGATGGAATGAGCACATGTGGCGACATCTAAAACAGGACATCCTAAACCACAATTCTTAAACTGTCAAAATTTTAATTACGCTTGCGCCAGATATTAAATTTTAAGGACCGGTAGCGCGAAAATGAATAGCAGTGGCCAGTGAGGATTTAATGGAACTTTCAAATACTCCCCCGGAAATCACCGTGGAAGCAGAACACGCAAAAGAATTTACTTCCCGACAAACTAAAAGTGTACGAACATACATACAGCAAATTTTTGGAGTGGAGGACAAGAAAAAAACCAACTCATTTTCAGAGAACGTAGTGCTTACTTTAGCAAACTATCACAGTAAATTAAAGCATCCACATTGTGGAAAACGTATTCCATGCTGTGCTCTACGATACTTTTGAACAATAATGTAGATATAAGCAGCTATGCTAAGTTGCAGGCCTTGTTAAAAATGCAATCCAGCGGCTATTATCTGCCGTGCCATAGTGAAACCTAGTAACTCGACCTACTACAGAAATGACATTTTTGAATTTCCTATATCTACAAACCGAGTTCTACCTAATGCTATTAAAAACATTTCAATCGAGTGAATGGTTGCGAAGTTATTAGCTATCCCAATTTAGTATGTCTAGTTGGGTATCGGATAAATTAGATAGAAAGTCTATTTACTTGGTTGATTTGGTTTTTCCTTAATACGAACCTTCTTCTTGACTATCGTAAAACCTAGTAACTCGACTTACATCATTTACGTAATGGAATTGTACAAATTTATCATTGTGGCAATTACTTACTATTGTAACATATTCATATTTACAATAATAAAACATCTTAAATCTACTAAATAAAACTAAAACGAACAAAATTCCAATAAAGTACTATCGTATATCGAGTTGTCGGGATTAAAAGTAGCAATATTGCACATGCGCAAGTATATTTACACTTGATTAATTAGAATAGACGTTATATATTTCACTTGAGTGTCGGACGTCAACCGGGTTGGAATTAAGACGTGTATCTTGTGAGTGGAGAAAATGAATCGAGGGCAAAAATTGGTAAATCTGGCCGCTGAAAGCAGGTAAGCATGTCTTATTACGTCATAGCAAGGCAGAAAATCTATTAACGAAATGTAACGTCAATTTCTTACGTACTTGAAGTGTACTATTTAGGTAAATTCTCTTATCTTCCAGAAATTATACCGTAGATGAGATTACGAGAAAATCAGTATTGGAGGAATCTCCTTCACCTATGGATGATTCAGACGAAGATCCGGATTTTGATCCAGACAAGCCCGTCAAACAAAGCGGCCGAAAAGAGATTCCGAGACATTTTACCCAAAAAGATCTTTCCTTAACGAATAATTTACATAAAAAAGAACCACAACGAAAAAAAAATAAACTATGGCAGTATACTGATCAGACTATGATCTTTCCAAGTCCCGAGCCTTGGGAAAGTGAAGGTTTGAGAAATGTAAGTGATTATACCGATCTTGTGCTTCAATACTGGAAGGAGAATGTAGACAACACACCTTTAGATGTACCTGACGAAAGAAATGAAACTGTCACACGCAAAAAAACTAACAAGAACAGCAAGATTTCAAACGATAAACTAAGGTCACCATGTAAAACGAATTGTAGAAGGCGCTGTAGAGAACGAGTATCAGAAAATGAAAGGCGGAAAGTATTCGAATATTTTAATAAACTTGAATTCTCGAATAAACAATTACTTTTGGACAAATACATACAAAAAAAAGAAGTAAAATACCGGAAGGTCGATGCAGAAAAGAATAAAAAATTTACTGTTTCCTATACACTTCCCACGTTTAAAGAAGAAAATAATTCGTCTGACTCTATTGTCGCCGAAAGCAGTTCTAGATGTGGACCGATTGTTGTGTGTAAAGAAATGTTTCTTCGTACTCTTGGGAAAAAATCAGATGGGATGATCACCTGCTTCCTACAAAGGACGGCCAATGATCTTCCTAATCTTCAAGATAAACGAGGAGCGGCCCACGCCAGAAAAATGAAAGAAGTTGCGTCAGAAAACTACAATGTAATTAAAAACCATATAGAAACATACCATCCCCAGGTATCGCACTACAACATTTCTCACGCTCCACACAGAAGGTACCTTCCTCCGGATTTATCCATTCATCAAATGCACAAGGATTTTAGCTCAAAAATCAAGACTGTCAGCTACGAGACGTATAGGAAGGTTTTTGAAAAAGAAAACATTGGCTTTTCTGCACCCACGCAAGATGACTGCGGTTTGTGCGCAGTGTATAAGCAGCATGCCCATAAAACCGACGATCCTACGACGGAAACTTCTAGTCAAGAAGAGAAAGAGCAAATTGATCCAAATGTCTCTTCTAATGCAAAAAGCGATTGTGATACTTGTGAGAAATACCAATTACACAAAAAAAGATATACTATAGCTAGACAGATGTACACCAAAGACAGTTCAGGTGGTTTCGATAATGATACAGAAATATATGCCGTGGACATGCAGAAAGTTTTACTTCTACCGAAGATGTCAACCAAGGATTCATTCTTTGTTAGTAGGTTGGTGGTTTTTCATGAAACCTTTGCTAATTTGAAATCAAAAGGATACAACAAATGCATACTGTGGCACGAGGCTATAATGGGTCGAAACGCAGCTGACGTCGCGTCAGCGTACTACAACGTGGTCACGAAGTTACAGAATGAAACAAAGCACTTAATCTTCTGGTGCGATAACTGCACCTCCCAAAACAAAAATTGGACACTTTTTACGGCCTGTATTACATTTGTTAATCAAGATTGGGGTCCCGAAAGTATAACTTTTAAATACTTTGAGCCGGGGCATAGCTTCATGAAAGCTGATTCAATACATGGACAGATTGGCAAAAAGTGGAGTAAGTCAAAAGAGATTTTGGACATGGAAGACCTTGAAAAACTGATGAAGTCTGCAAATAAGTTGAATGAGGTAACAACATTAAGGTTTGACGACTTTAGAAAATTTGAGAACGGATGCATGCAGAAAAAGAAAACCAACTGTATGCCAAAATTGAATGATATTAAATCGGTACTATTTAAAAAGGGGTCCACCAAGATTTTTTATAAGTGCGAACTTGAACATGAAGAGTTCCAAGAGGCGACGGTTCTTAAACCCAAGTTTAAACCACAAATTCCCGAAAAGCAGGGCGCAGATAGGGGAATCAATACAAAAAAAAAGGAGGCTATTTCAAAAGTATTGTTGCCTTCTATGCCTTCTAGGAAGCAGATGTTTTGGCAGAACCTTCCAAATTTTGATGACAAAGAAGATCTTGGAAAATCAAATGCAGAATTTGTTGTTTAGAGTATTATTTGTTCCTTATTTTGCTTTTTTCTAAAGGGTTCCTATTTTTTGTTTGTATTTTATATATATGATACATAGTTACGTACTTAAGTATTGTTTTGTTTAAGTTTCGTTTCACAATTTACTAATACGGAATAAACTTGTCCAAATATTTGAGCATTTAATTCATTAAATCACTTCATTTGATTGACATGATGCGTTAGCGAGATCTATGTCCACTAGTAAGTCGACTAGCTAAAAACAACAGAATTATGTTTCATTTTTTTTATGATTCATTCGACTTACTAGGTTTTACTTTCAACAATGGTGAAAAACTATAGTGATTTTGACGAGTTACTGCGATTTGTTTAGTCAAACAGGAGTAGTAAATAGAGCAACTCGACTTGCTTGCTTTTACTTTAGCATATTACCTGTCGTACCCTAACCTAGTAACTTTTTTTTTTAATTTTTTCGGTTTCTTTTCGAAAATATACACATGTTAAGTTAAAATTTGAATTCACAACAAAATTATTAATAAAATTGTTTTATATTGACATTGTGTGTGGTATAGGAACAACGTTACAAACAATTAACTTTTATAAACTTTCAACGCGTATACCCACAACTTTGAAATTTTGAGTTACTAGGTTTTACTGTGGTACGGCAGATTTCCCTAAAAAGTCAAAAATTCTATCAACGAGCAAAGTAAAAATGTTTATTCAAAAAGCACCCCCGACAGTTCATATCTACTATAACATTACACGTTCAAATCGTTACTCGTTACATCATATCTATTTTACATTTGCAGGTTGCTCTTATAGTTGGCATTAGTGGTGCTTGTCGTAAGCACGAATTGTGGAACATAAAAATTGGTGGACTTAGGTGGAACTGTAATTAGAATACCCAATACGAAAACTAATGTACAACGAAAGTTTACAATTACGAGGAACCCGTACGTTGGTATACCTACAACCAAACATCAAGTTGCATATTCTACAATGAATTAATGTACCTCACTGCACTATACAAAAAGAACATCCATATCAAAACAGTTAACGTTGTTGGTCATCCAGAACACATTTCCTCCAGGAAGTTTTAAAACTAACCTAAAATATAATGCTCACTAAAATGTTACCTACACTCGTAGATACCTACTTACATACAAATTTTTCGAGTAGTGCTATGATGTTTATTTCTAATTTGCATCCATAACGTCCTCTTTGTAGCATTTTGTATTTGAATTTATACACATCATGAATTACATTCCGGTCGCAATCTCGAATACGTTTATCGCTTATGGTTATGTTTATCTAAATCTAAATGATCCACGCCGATACACTGCACAGGACAGGGCACATTCAATAAATGTGCACATTTGTAAATAATATCACAGAAAAGTTAGTTTTCCTTTTCTGGGATAATATTGAGGGAAGAGAAATTGTCGAGGAATTTGTTTATACAGCCATTTAGACAAATATCTGTCAAATATGCCACAGGGATCTGTTATACCAACCCACACTGAGAAAAAGACTTGGTGGTCCTAAAAAAATTGGTTTGTTTGGAAGTCATACTGTTGTTTTAAATAAATGTTTGTGGTTTCAAAAAAACATTATTGATGATACATTAATCGATTTTATTACGGCAATAAGAAAGTTTTTTTAAAGCAATTTTTTTTATAGTAATTGATATATTTTTACATGTAGCAAAATACTATTTTAGAATTACTTTGTTATAAGTAAACAATTGATTATTTGTATTAAAACATTATGTGGTTTTAGATAATAACAGCTTTATTAATAAAAATGAAGTTGTTGAAATTGAAATTAATAATGAAAGTATCTTGTAAAACGAATCATGTTATTGTTTTTAAAAATTTTATGTGTGTATGGCCCAAACTAGCCTGAACAAATTGTTTCTTTCCAACAAGCAAACTGTATGTGCAAGCACAGGTGCAAGTTTGTTTCTTAATGCGTTTCATTCATTAGCTTGCATATGATTGCATCATTCCGAGTTGGCTCATTCATTGAGTAATTAAATATTCACTCAACGGCTCAATTATTACGTTCCTTCTTACTCTTTATACACAAAACCTATTTATTCATTTCATGGGAAATTGAAAGTGCTGTGAGGATTGTTTAAGACTAATAAGACGGAATGGAAAGAGTGGAAACTGTAGACTGCTGTATTTGTGGGGATTTAGTGATTTGTGTAAAAAATTTGAAGGTAAGTTCATTAATTTTCTAGCTTTGCATGCATATTATTTTTATTATGAAGCACCGCACTATTAAGCTGTACCTCGGGCTGGACAATAGCTCGTTGATAAATATTCATTTTCATTAGTATAATGAAAGATGAGGTTTATATAGGTTTTCAACGCCTTTGACCGGTTCCCGCATGTTTCAATTTTCAATAACGTTTGCAAGGAATACATTTATTTGTGGTAAAAGTTATCTGTGCTTAGCCGTAACTTAACATTTGGTTATTATAAAAAAATTGTTTCCCTCATCCTTATGTTTTTTAATCTTAGAAAATGCTTGTTATATTACAACTGGATATTTTTGCCAATAACTTACCTACCTACGCGTTTTTACCACAACAAGCGTAATCGTAACGTCGCGTTGTGCGTTATGATGTTATGCTATTCAAAGAAGTTTTGTACTGACCAGAATATAAGTGTGCAATTAAATTTCTAGAACATCAAATCACGTTGGATTTTTACCTTCTTTAATTCAGGACACCATTCTCAATGATATATAATCCCCCAATATGGAAGGCGGTTGACTTTCAAGAAGAAATTGGAGGAATATCTTGGACAGAAATATAAGGACACTGAATTGTTAGAGGTGAGTTCATGCCCCTTCCTGTTGGTAAGTAATAAATTTAGTGAATTAATATATTAGGAGGGAACCCTGGATGAAACCAACATTGACAACCAAGGTATAATATCGTTATCTGGCGCTGATATCATATAAAATTTCAGTATTATATATTTTTATAGTGTATATATAATATATAAGTAATAATATAAATGTGCATATTATATTTATAAATAATAAATGCATTTTTAACAAGAATTTTGTTTCATGTTTATAAAATCTACCATTATTTCTCCAAAGCAAAACAAAATTTTTGACAAATCTCTCTTTCTTGGTAACGAAATACGGTATTGTAAGTAAAGTTTGATTGGGTACCTATCTGTTTATCTAACATGAATACAACAATATTGAAATTTTGTGATTAATAAATATAATTTTCTACTTACTCGCTGTCAAATTTGTTAAGAAGAAATAAATATGGGTAAATAAATGATATTCTACAAAAGGTAATATATTATTGTGGCAAACAAATTGTAGTGTGGTAAACAATCTATATATAAATAAATCTAGCAATTGAAAATTTAGGAGTAATCAGATTTTATTTTTCACCAATTAACATTTCTTCTTTATAAATAAAGATTTATTAACTGTAAATAATTGATTTTGTTTTAATGACGCCTGATAAGCGTTCGGGAGAAATTATATGGACTCATTCCAAACATATTAATTACAATTATTTGAAAAAATATTATTCTTTTCTTAAATTAATATTCGTTGGGCCGTATTCAAAATGAGCATTTGTTTGAGATATCAAATTTTTATTTTTCATGAATAAGTTGTTTTCTCAGTGCACCGTACATAGACGTCCATACTAATGTGTGAATTGTCTATAGTTAACCCTGCTTGTTTTACATATTTTGCAAAAATTCGTCGTAGTAGTAGAAAAAATTATGTCTATTACTTGTAAGGAATAGGTATTCAACGCTCGTGAAACCGTCACACTCGCCTTCGGCTCGTGTGACGAACTTTCCACTCGCGCGGAATACACTCTATTCCATACTCGTTATAGAATATACTATACTTTTGCAGATTGAATTTGATTTCGTCATTCTCAATAGAGATAGTAAAGACCCTTCTTCAATTTGGGAGGCCGGTGCGAATAAGATAATACAATTCCTCGCAAATAGTATCAAAGACAAAGAGTTGAAAACTTTGATAAAAAGTCTGGACGAAGACATGGAAGAGAGTAAGTAGAAATTAACTTATAATGCAGCTTCTCGTGTCCTCAAATCGACTATCGAAAATATCAATTGATGATTGCGTAGATAATATTACCTACGATTACATAGTATACCTTAAGTATTACTTTGTCACACTAACTTTCATTTTCTACCAATAGATGGTCGGAACGCCACAATTCTGTGGCTTCTTCATGGGTTCTTTGTGCCCAGCAATCGAGGAACACAAACCGATATAAACGGCAAGAAAAAAATTACAAAATAGGTACACTATTCGAGACTCTCAGCAGTATTTCCTCTACCTGGGAAAATCTGCCCAACAAGTAGAGCAATGGATAGAACACAGGAAGTCCAAAGGTACAGCCATACAGCCATTTTTATTCGCCATTGCAGAGAGTCTCAAAGAAATAGGAGAGGTTTTTGTTTATTTCGACGACGTGAAGTTCAAATTTTATAACATAATACGCGCAATGGACATCTGTTTCAAAATATTCCACGTATTCAATCTCGAATATCCGAATGAGTGCCACATGTTTTGGACATTCATCGAAACATATTTATATAATGTAAAATCAAACAAAAGTTATACTAAAGTTTATGAACTTAAAGACTTTTTGAAATCAGGCGAGAACTAGGTGCGTCTCATTTTGTATTTTGTAAGTATATTTTATTAATAAATGAGGCATAACGTATTTCATTTGTGTCTGTGTCTCAGTTCAACTTTTATCACAGTTATGTGCAGGGTAAGTATTTTGTCTAAAAACGTGTCAACATATATCAGTACAAATAATTACAATTGATGCTTTAATAATAAGTCATTTGAGCATTTCTATAGGTAATTAATGTACCTACTCTACTCTGATTCTAAAATTAATGACCGGGGACGTTGTATCAAACCATCTTTGATCCCCATGTCTTGTCAAGGCACACTAAAATATTAATGCGATGCATATTGATTCACTGCTATTGATTTTATGTAGCCCGATCCTTTGATCAATGAACGTAGCTTTAACCAATAGGTAAGTGAACCTTAAATCAAGACATTGGAACTTTAGGGATAAGCAAGAATACATGTATAACGTGTACTTGAAGCCTAATACTAATTTACCGCAACCTCAACCCAGAATTGCTAGGCATTGCATTGAGGTTTTTGATCATCAAAACAACATAATTTCAACGAACGAAATGACGTCTTCAAAGCCTTATACTAAGGAACCGCAACCTCAACCGATACTCCCAGCCATTGTATTAAGGCTCTTGAACATCAAAACAACACAATTTCAACGAACGAAATTGATGTCATCAGAGCCTAATACTAAGGAACCGCAACCTCAACCGATACTCCCAGCCATTGTATTAAGGTTCTTAAACATCCAAACAACGCAATGTTAGCGAGACTGAATTGATGTCATCGGAGCCTAATACTGAGGCACTCGCTATTAGTCAATCACCATCGAAACCTTCTAGCAATGGTTATAAGCTTTGGAAGGATTTTGAGGTCAAAAGACTTGTTTCGATCACTATTTTTCTCATATTTAGGTAGTTTTTTCTTTCTGTGTGTCCAATGATATACTCAGATGGTTTAATTAAATAATTTGAATTCTGTAAAGCTTTAAACCTCAAATACTCAGATTTAAAACCTTCAAACGGATTTCTTATGCATTTAAAAAATACTTTCACTTTATGAATTGCGTTTTCATGTGTTGCGCATTTTTGTAACTCTCCAATAACAAATGAACTTACAAAATTCATAAACTCCCCATTAAAAAAATTACCACATTCTTCGACGATTAACTGTACAATATTTCTTGGAATAGCGGAATGATTATAAAGTTTAGCTAAAAATTGTAAAACACAATTATTTAGAATATTTTCAAATATATCTGATTCTTCTGTGTTTTCCAAATTAACATTATAGCTTAATTTTACAAATTCATTTTCATGTGCGTCAATTCCCATATGATTATCATTGTGGTCTTCTGCTAGATTTTGTGTTACAGAATGCTTCCCTTTTAAATGTTTTCGAAATGAGTTTGATGTTTGGAAATCGCGCCTACATAAACCTTCTCTATACATCTATAAATGCTGTCATATCGCAAGTTATGTAGGTACTACTTTAAAATGTAAAAATAAACCAGAAATAGAGTCTAAGTTTTCATTGCAAAGATAACATATTGCCATTTTTACTGAACTTAGGTACTTTACTTAACAAGGTTTCTTTAATTTATTTAAGTCTGATAATAACGTGTTAACACCAGTAAAAGACTTGTCCCATTTAGTATTAAGATGGTAAAAAGCTTTTTGAATGAAAAGCCATACCTGCTGTGCTTCATGCGCGTACTCTGCGTGTAAAGAATGAAAAGCTTTAAAACAAACGTCCAAAGCTTTTAAGCAAGACTCTACTGGATAAAGGGTGTCATCAATTCGCACAAATATAGTGTCTATTTGAGACAATGATTGTCCGACGACAATGACCATTGGCTGCAGTGTAAAGCCAAACCGTGCCAGCTTTGAACGTCGGCTTTCGATTCGTTGCTGTAGTTCCGAAATACTCTGAAAATTAAAGAAAAAAACTAGTGTCAGAATTCAACAAAATTAAAAAAATGTATATTTCATTAATGATTATTGACTAAAAGAAAAAAATAATATTTTTGCAAGAATGTCACTCTATCATACCTTCAAATGCAACCAAAAAGCTTCAAGCACCTCTATTCGCGATGGACGCCACAGCCCCGTTTGTTTGGTTTTACGTATGCTGATTGTTGGCAAAAGGTACGTTAACAGAACCATTACATTATTTACTACCTTACTACTATTTACTAACTTTTCCATGTAATTATTAAGCATGTATAATATTTTAGATTTTTCCATTGTTTTGACGAATGTAAGTTTCTTTTGTTAACTATGCATGAAATAAATATTATTATTATGGTCGGTGTTTCTTGTGAGAACTCAGGTCTAGCCTGGTTAACTTAATCGCACGGATTAAAATCAAGTAACGATTAGTGTCTGTGTCTGTGTCTGGTGAAGTTATGTAGGTCCTTCACACACGTACATTGGACATCTAGGATAATTAATTCGTACTACCAACATACCTATTGATGGGCACAATAGCCAACGCTATTCAGGAAAGAGGAAAACAAAACAAAAAAAAATCATTATAATAATTCCTGTAATTTTATTAAATTGAGTTTATTGTGTAAGTGTTTCTTTGGCTTTGCGTTTGGGTTGAATACGAGTGGGTTGTGATAACGTGGTGTGTTATTATTATTATTATTATTATTAAAAAGTGAACATATGAGTACCCACTATACTGAAAGACGAGTCATTATGAATATCACCTGATGTAATGGCATCACTATCTAAGTTTGTTAATAAATCTTTCACGTTTAAATCGTTAGATTTACTTTTTGCATGCGCAATTATTGCTTGGCTCACAGATTCCCATGAATTGAACATCTGCATAACATGGTCAGGATAGGCTGCCTTGAAATCCAACTCTAACTGAAATTTAATATGAATACGTTGTTAGATGACACATACATACTACATACCTCTACATAAAGTATAACAATGTCAAAATATGTAAGCCACATTAACTGATATAAATCAGATAATTTGATAAAAACACATACCAATAAATAACCTTTGTTGGAGCGTAGTGCTGGATATGTGTTGAAATATCCACATAATTTTCCAGAGTCCGCATGCAACTGATTTTGTCTGTGTTTAAAAGTTTTGCTCCAGTGTGCTTCAACAACCATCCACGGCTCTGTACAATTTTTAAGCCACAAAATACTTTCATTTATATCTGAAAATTATAAATATGCTAGTAGTATAACCCATAACAGATTAATAATTATTATTATACCTTCAGTCGCCGTTAAAATTTGCTCTTGTCCTATAAGAATGTTATCTAATTTCTCGGTCTGTTTCAACAATCCAGAGTTCTTGAACGCTCTCCTTAGACTATAATACTTTGAAAATAATTTACCTTTGGCGACTTGATGCACTTTTCCATTTTTTAGAGCGTTTATTTTAACAAAATACGTTTCCTGAAAAAACAGTAGTTATTCTATTATATCCTACTTTCGCGAACTTTATCAAATGATGAAGGGAAAAAGCATATCGAATTTGAAGTTTTTGAACTAGTAACTGAATGTAGATAATTTCCTTAGAGTATATGCAGGGTGTCCGAAAAGTATGGAATATCGTAGCCCTATATATCTTTGCAAATATTATTTAATGGAAAAAATTTTCAAATAAAAGTTATTTGTCTCCATTTCTAATCACATAGAATTTTTTTATTTTTTTAATGTTTTTACTTAAACAAGAGCGCAACAACCTCGGCAACAACTAATGGCATTGGACTTGAGCACAAATTTTCCGAACACCGCATTGCACGTCATAATGTATGTATGGAATATAGTATTTATCTCGGTAAAAATGGATCTTGAGATTTTTTTTCTTTTTGGACGACATATAATTTTAGTACCTTTAACACCGTAACATTTTTGAAAAAAATGTAAAATATAAATTTTCACCAATAAGGCAATAACATGTAGTTATGCAAACTGTCTTTTGTTTGTCGTATTTATTATTTATGGCCCACATTAAATTTTTAAGACAAATGAAAGAGATTTTGAATAACTAGATTCATGTTATTAGTGAAACTTTATATTTTACGTTTTTTTTTTCAAAAATTTTATGTCATCGAAAAGAGAAAAAAATCTCTATCAAATGAGCCTAATGAAAGGGTAAATTGCTATTTCATATTTTCATACCTTGTACTCTGTGGGAAATAATGCCACTACCATATCAGACAATTCATCCAAACGTGCACAACTCAGTCTTTTATCTGGTTGCCCTTCAAGCTCATTGGTAATTATTAATTCAGCAAGTTGCTGTCGATGAGCGCTTTGAAAAGTAGACTTATTATATACTTCTAATAAGCTTTTTCCACAATTTGTTAGTTGTAATAAATCTTTTAAATTCGAGAGCTTTTGTTTTTTTGGTGGTGGTTCGATATTGACCTGCACATCGGGCGGTTCGTTATCTTCAAAATGGGAAGTAGTTGCTAGGTGCTACAAGATTGTATATATCGGTTAAAAAAAAATTACAAAGCAACTGGTACTAACTTCTACAAAGTCGAACTCTTCAATGTGGTTTACGTCATTGTTCGTTACTAAAGAATAAGAAGAAGGATTTGTTAGCGTAGATGACGATGGTGCAGGAGAAATCACATTATCCATCTAAAATAATACATGCATATTAATTAAGCATGGTGTTTATTTAATGTTCAAATCAGAAGAAGACAAAGGAGGGACGAACAGGAAATAAAAAAATGTAAAAATAAGTTTTTGTAAGACAAGGATTCGGGGGGGGGGGGTATATTTGAGTAACTCGAGGAGTAACTTTATGGGGTAGATAGTATTAGTATTTCCTCCTCTGGACCATGTTTTGATTTTTACTTACGCCAGTCTCGTTTGTAGCAAGCTCGAAAATAATAGGGGGAGGTGATAGAAAAAGCTCGAGATTTCTCTTAAACTTGATTCGGGTGCCAATTTTCGGTATTAGTTCTCTTAAAAGAGAATCTGTTAAATCCGGCAGCATATCTAATGTGATTGCATTATCTGAAAGAAACAACTGCAATTAAATCTTTTGAAAACAGGTGAAAGCATCAAACATGCTTGTGCGGTACGGGTATATGCATTTTAAACTCCTCAGAGGTAATCTCACATTTTTCAGTCTTAACTACATTGACATTAAAAAACAAAAAAACTCATTGTTGGTACTCCATGACATTTTTTTTGTCCATTTAATCACCAGCGCAGCGACATACTACATCGTACTGCCATCGAAAAGTGTTTTTTTTCAATGGTACTACTAACTTTAAAAAAACCAGTCATTTTCACTTGCATTTTCACCATCATCTCCTGTTCATGTTCAATTCAACAGTAAGGTTATGTGGCATGTGCGCCATGTGCCATACGCAACAAGTGTTTCCATAGAATGTACAGAACAAAGGTAGTGAAACTGGACTGGAAATTGAAAATTGCTAACTATTGTGAAATGATTGTGCAACAATGAGAGACGCCCCCTCAACTAGGGTGAAGTTACCTAAGAGTACGCACTCTCCCAAGAGTGCGCGAGTAATTTATTTTATAATATAAGGATTTAGAACACTACCTGACACCTACTTTGTAAATTATGAACTATTTAAAGATGGAGTGCACTAGTGCAGAAACAATCAGTCATCACGTGATTAGTTTTCCCGCGTTAACGGTGCATCGTGACAGACAGCAGTAAATATTACAATTTTATTTGTGTTCGAAGTAAGGCTTTGAGAGGTAAGTATCTGGATTAACTATATACCCACACAGCACACACCATCTAATGAACATCCATTAGTTATCTTGCACGTCTATAATACATCCAATCCAAAACGAATATCTAATGAATATACATTAAATATCTATCGTGGATAATTACAATTGTAAGTAAAATATTTGTAAATTATTTTAAATGTATTCTTAAAGTGCAATAATGTGCATTGCATAAAATTACATTAATTAGAAAAAGAAACAGTATATAAGATACGTGGTATTATGGATATTGTGTGGATGTTAAATGGACATGCCATATGGATTTCAAACGCCTTCATGTGGATTTATGAACACATCTTTCGCGCTTGTTTTTGTTTTGACCAATCACTGTAAACTTACTTGCCCACACCCTGTATGCGCATAACCTTAAATTAGCATTATGTGCACATTGCACAGCGCACGTCACGTTTGTTAGTTAACGCGTTTGGTTTGTGTTTACAATTATTAAGATATATTTCCTTCGTTATCTGTTACGTGCTTGCCAGTGTTTTTACGTAGTTTTTACTTGGCCCGTGATAACGATAACCAATCCTCTGTTTAGTGGTAAGTACAGTACCTATAGCCCGCCCGCTAAATAATTGAGGTTAAGTGTGTATGTTTTATTTCAGATACCTACCTTAGACAGATATTACAATCCCAATTTTGATTGTGGAGGCTCTTCTGCGTTTTTTAATTTATAAGGTTTCAAGCTAGATACCTACTTCGCTGGATTTGACACTAGGTATGTATGTACAGGGTGCGGCAAAGCCGACTACGCAGTATCGATCGATTACCGCTCAGAGTGTGGTGGGGGTAGGCAGCTGCAACCGGTATTCCTTTGTTTGGTTGTTGACCCCATTTAGTAGGCAACATGGTTTGGACCGGTGTACATCGTGGTTTTGCCGTGCGGGCTTATTACGAAAACAACCGATCTGTGATCGCTACACAGCGCGCTTTCCGGCGACAGTTTAACATTCCGCGCAATGACAATGTTCCAAATGCAAACACGATTCGATCTTGGGTTCGGCGATTGGAGGAAACTGGAAACACATTAAGAGGAAATAAACATGGCCGATTCAAAAACGTCAGAACGCCAGAAAATGTTGTACAGGTGAGAACAGCTGTTCAAAATTCGCCGACACGTTCTGCTCGAAGACATGCTATCGCATTGGGGATGTCGGATCGCAGTTTGAGGAGGATTCTGAAATTTGATTTGAAGTTTCATCCCTACAAAATAATGTTTGCTCAAGAATTGCGCCCAGATGACTATGTCAGCCGTCGCAATCTGTGTGAGCAAATGCTTGCAGCCATCCATCCAAATGCAGCTTTCTTCAGTAGCGACGAGGCTCATTTCCACCTCAACGGGTATGTAAATAAACAAAATTTTCGCTACTGGTCTGAAAATAACCCTCAAATTGTTCATGAAAGACCGCTTCATTCTTCCAAAGTGACGGTGTGGTGTGCCGTATCTCAGTTTGGCGTGATAGGCCCCTACTTTTTTGAGGAGGAAGGCGTTACCGTGACTGTTAATTCCGCACGTTATGTTGCAATGTTGCAAAATTTCCTGCAACCCAGGATGAATGAAATTGTTGAAGAACATGAATTGGGGGACTTGTGGTTCCAACAGGATGGGGCTACAGCTCACACTGCTCGAGCTTCACTTCATGTTTTGAGAGAAATCTTTCCTGAACGTCTCGTCTCTTTGAGGGGTGATGTCGGGTGGCCTGCACGCTCACCAGATTTGAGCATCTGTGATTACTTTCTTTGGGGGTATCTAAAAGAAAAGGTGTTCAAGAGACGACCCCACACCATAGCAGAGCTAAGACAAAGGATTATTGAAGAAGTGAACGCCATACCCCGAGACATTTGTGCAAGAGCTACAGAGAACTTCAGACATCGCTTACAACAATGTGTTGATGCCAACGGCCGCCATCTTAGCGACATTATTTTTAAAACATAAGTGGATGTAAAATGGTATGTACTACTAATTCAGATTATTTAAATACATTGTCTCTAAATATAAAGAATTGTTTTTTATTGCTCCTCAAAACTGCTTAGTCGGCTTTGCCGCACCCTGTACCTACCATGTTATTTAGCATTAGGGCTTTAATGATAATTCACTCGGTTTAACCACAGGCCAGTGGAAATTGCCATAGAAATAAGTAATTGTGGTAATAGGTTATACAAAATTGGTTAGTGGAGGTATATTCTTGGCCTTTGTTTTAGATTCTGATCATGTCTAAAGAATTAACAGACAAATGCCTTTTGAGCATTTCAACCCGACAAATTAATCGTATAATTAGTAATCTCAAAAAACATGACACATCAAATTCCGAACGAATAAATGTTGATAAGCAGGTTGATATTAACCCTGCCGGTAGTAGTAATGATGAACCCGATGAACCATTTAATAATGAAATACCTTTCGATACCAGAAGTGAATGCTTTATTGAATCAGGTAACGATGAAACAACTTTTCCTTCCGAATGTAAGAACGATGACCTCGACGATGACGTTAATGCATTAAATGATTCGTTCAATATGGCTGATGTTTTGTCTGATAGTTTACAACGTACTCCATCGTTTGCAAACGATTTAAGATTATGGGCGATAAAAAACAAGATTCCTCATTCTGCACTGTCTGAGTTAATGAAAATACTGTTGAAGCATAACATTAAATCTGATGAATTGCCCAGTGACTCTCGAACGCTATTAAAAACCCCTCGATCTACTGTTATTCGACCAGTTAAACCTGGGAATTATCTTCATTTTGGTGTGCGTAATGGAATATTAAATACTTTTAAAAGTACCAAATTTAAGGGCGATAAAAAATCCATAGCATTAAAAATAAATATAGATGGATTACCGATTTCCGACAGTAATAATAGTCAACTGTGGCCTATCCTAGGTTGTATCAACTCTATCAATATTTTTTTTATTTTTTTTTTTTTTTTGGTAGGTGGGGAAATGCTCCTTAAGCACACTCCGGAGGGACAATTTCCGGAGTAGTGTGGGGCTCTCCTATCAGGTATACCCACTAAAACCCCACCTTAGGCTCGGCTTCTAAGGCCATTTGCCTTTCAATTACACACAAAACAAACCGTCAACATACTATAAGTATTACAGTTTATCATTAAAACCAATGCTACTAATAAAACGTAGAGTATTTAGGCATTTGTCATTGGTATTAAGATTTTCCGCCCAAGTATCACTTATTTTGTTAAAATCTCGCGCATTCCTATATTCCGGGCAAACGCATAGTATGTGTTCCAAAGATAAATCCACTCCACAGTGGTCACATTGTGGCCGATCATCACCCGCCAACAGAAATCCGTGGGTCAGAGCACTGTGACCGAGTCGAAGTCTGAATAGTCTCGTTAAGGCCAGACGAGCCATGCCTAAAGGAAACAAAGGCCCTATTTCAGCTTTGACCCTTTTCAGAAAGGCATCAGACTCCGCCCACTGTCCATTCCAGCGTTCATACACACGCGCTTTCACAACCCCACGTCGTGCTGCATAGTCATGTCTACAATGTCGGCATATTCCAGTTGTAGATATGCAAACTCCTCTCTAGCTCTTTCTCCTAAGGACCTACATCTATACAGACGGGCGCGCGTGGTTACGTCTCTTAACAGATGGTAATTCGGATGATTACCATCCATCGACACTTTGAGGTAATAATTTACCACGATCTGCTTTCTTCGAAGAGCTAGAGGAAGAATGTTTGCCTCAACGTATAGTGACTCGACGGGACTGGTCGGAAAGGCTCCAAGGGAGTATCTTATGGCAAGATTCTGTATTCTGTCCAGCTTGCCAAGCAACGTATTACTACTACATGTAGAATACACAGAACATCCGTAGTCGATCCTTGATAGTATGAGACCTTTATATAGGTCTAGCAGCGTCTTGGGATGCGCTCCCCACTTGTGGTGAGCTAAGACTCGGATGACATTCAGGGACTTTCTACATGTAGTAGCAACGTTCTGTATATGCGCGGACCAGCGTAGCTCTCTATCGAACGTTAGACCCAGGAACTTGACCTCTTGGACCACGCTTATTATGCGGTCATTCATAAATAAAACCGGGTCATAATGGGGTTTGCGAAGTCGACAAAAATGTGCAACCTTCGTTTTCTCCTCTGATAACACAAACCCAACAACGTTGGCATTATTACATATTTGATTTATCGCCACTTGTAATTTACGTGTTATAATACCGACGGTCTTATCTGCACAAAAAATCGTCAGGTCGTCGACGTATAAACATTTTCCGATTTCGTCAGCAACACCTCGAGCTATCTCGTTGATGGCAATGCCAAACAGGGAACAGCTAAGTGTGGAGCCCTGCGGCACCCCATTCTCTAAAACGTGCTCGTTTGAATAAGCGTCGCCAACTCGTACGACAAATTTCCTATTTTCCACAAAAGATTGTATAAACTTTGGCAGATTCCCTCGTAGATTATATTTGAACATATTTTGTAGTATACCATACCTCCAAGTCATGTCGTATGCACCCTTGATGTCAAAGAAGACCCCAACCAGGTGCTCGCCACTGTCGAACGTATTCAGAATACGATCGCTCAACTTGACCAGATGGTCAATAGTTGATCGTCCCTTCCGAAAACCGGTTTGATATGGGACGTATATATTGTTACGTTCGAGGAACGTTTGCAACCTCCCGTTTACCATCTTTTCCAACAGTTTGCCTAGACAAGAGGTCAAACTTATTGGACGGTAGTGTTGTGCTAACAGCGGGTCTTTTCCCGGCTTCGGTATAGGGACTACAACTGCCTGTTTCCATTCAGAAGGGTAAGTTGATTCGATCCAGCAGGTATTAAAGAATTTTAAGATGATCTCTTTCATTTCAGCACTACAGTGACGAAGCATCTGGTTATGGATACCATCTCCTCCCGGTGAACATGACTTGGTGTTACGGATTGCTTCATCTAGATCTTCTAGGTTAAAGGGTAAGTTATCATCTAGAGTTTCATCGGTATCAAAGTTTATAGGTGTCAATTCTTTCTCGATTTTAGCCTCTAGAAAAGTACGAGGATAATTGAGTGAACTGCTAACTTTATAGAATTGATCGGCAATAATGTTACTTATTTCCTGCAGGTTGTTGGTAACTACCCCATCGGAGTTACGCAGAAATCTGGGATAAGCGCAGCCGATTTTACCGGATATTGCTCCTACCTTCTTCCAGACTTCGCCAATGGTTGTCTCCGGTGTGATGGTGGAAACGTATCTTTGCCATGAGTTTCTTTGTGCCTCTAATATCCGCCGGCGACACTCGGATCTTCGTTTTTTAAATTCGATTAAATTCTCCATTGTAGGATGGCGACGGAACCTATTTATTGCTCTTTTCTTTAATAAAATTTTTTCTTTTATTTCAGGTGACCACCACGGAACCATCTTCCTTATATTGCCAGGTTTAGATCTTGGAATGCTGGCCTCGGCGGCATTTAAAATAGATGAGGTTAGCGTATGGAGATTTACCTGGCTTGGCGGGACGAGCAGCCGTGTGAAAAGTTCCCAATTTGCTTGTTGCATTTTAAATTTGGCTATCGTTCTCACAGGAGTGTTCCTGCCTTGCAAGGTAATAATTATGGGAAAATGGTCGCTATGAAGCAGATCACTTTCCACTTCCCATTTTACGCTTGCATGTATCGCCGGTGAACATACCGATATATCGATGGAATCGAAAGTACCGGATCTCACATTAAAGAACGTAGCTGAATGAATCATCATTCAACAAGCTTAAATTTTTATCCTCGATCAGATCCAACAACTCCCTGCCACGAGCATCGTCTGAGCGGGAGCCCCAAACGGTGCTGTGAGAGTTAAAATCCCCAACTAGAATAAAAGGTGCCTGAAGCTGATCTACGATTTTACCAATCTCTTGGACATCATAAGTATTATTGGGAACGTAAATATTACACAGTGTAAGAGAACTGCTAATTTCAAGTTGTACCGCTACAGCTTGATAAGGCGTATCTAGTTTAACCTGTTTATAAGGTATGCCTTGTCGGATGAGGAAGGCCACCCCTCCACAGGCTCTTGCTGGTGAGTAAAAATCCTTTCTTATCAGATTATACCCATTAATGCTGTATTTTGTTCTAGGTACCAGGTGCGTTTCTTGAAGGGCAATACACCAAGGATTATGCTTTTGAATTAGCAGTTTCAGCTCATTTAAATTGTTGGAGAGTCCTCGACAGTTCCATTGGACAATTTTTGCTGTATCCATTAAATGACAATCACAATTGAATAAGCAACATATAAATATAAATAACAATAAAATAACGGTGTATATGAGGACATTCACAATAAATATATGTACACTTTTACATAAATAAATGATAGACAAACAAAACATATATGTATATCACAGGTGTAATCACAGACTAATTACTAAAAATTTGCGGGTTTCCCGCCGTTTTTCGAGGAATGCGGGGCTTGCCCTTCGGCCAACCCTTCTTTTTCCTTTGATGCTTGGCCTCCTGCACCGTCTCCGAATCGACGGAGGTAATGCTGGAGGACCTCGTTCTGGTTACTGACGTCCTACGTTTTGAACCACGCGTTTCCGCGTCCATGGGCTCAACTTCAGACGGCTCTGACAACAGTGCAATCTTTATTATTGGAATTTACCACGGTCTCTCCAAGCCAGTCGATGCAAATGAATTTTTAGAAAATTTTGTTGAAGAAATGAAAGTATTAATTACCGAAGGAATTGAATGTTTTGGAGTAACATTTTCAGTTTCTATGCATAGTTTGATATGTGATGCACCCGCGAAAAGTTTTGTTTTAAAAACAAAAGGCCACAGTGGATACTCCAGTTGTACAAAATGCATTCAAGAGGGCGAATACTTGGAAAATCGTGTATGTTTTCCTCAAATTAATTCCCAATTGAGAACAGACAGAGATTTTATTAATCAATCAGATGAGGCTCATCATACTGGTGTCTCAATTATGACATCAATTCCAAATTTTGGTCCTATCACCAATGTACCCTTGGATTATATGCACCTTGTGTGCATTGGTGTTGTAAAAAAAATGGTATCATTGTGGCAAAGTGGATCATTAAAATTTAGATTATCACATAAACAAACAAGTGTAATTTCTGACAAAATGTTGCAATACCGAAACCATATCCCGAAGGAATTTCCTCGTAGGCCTCGCGAAATTTCATCTGTATCACAATGGAAAGCAACGGAATTAAGACTATTTCTTTTGTATTTGTCACCATCTGCTCTCAGTGACACAATGAACTCTTCGATGTATTTTAATTTT